CCTATCCCTAACCCTACCCCTATCCCTAACCCTAACCCTCACCCTAACCCTAACCCTAACCCTAACCCTAACCCTAACCCTAACCCTAACCCTAACCCTAACCCTAACCCTAACCCTAACCCTAACCCTAACCCTAACCCTAACCCTAACCCTAACCCTAACCCTAACCCTAACCCTAACCCTAACCCTAACCCTAACCCTAACCCAACCCTAACCTAACCCTAACCCTAACCCTAACCCTAACCCTAACCCTAACCCTAACCCTAACCCTAACCCAACCCTAACCCTAACCCTAACCCTAACCCTAACCCTAACCCTAACCCTAACCCTAACCCTAACCCTAACCCTAACCCTAACCCTAACCCTAACCCCAACCTAACCCTAACCCTAACCCTAACCCTAACCCTAACCCTAACCCTAACCCTAACCCTAACCCTAACCCTAACCCTAACCCTAACCCTAACCCTAACCCTAACCCTAACCCTAACCCTAACTCTAACCCAACCCTAACCCTAACCCTAACCCTAACCCTAACCCTAACCCTAACCCTAACCCTAACCCTAACCCTAACCCTAACCCTAACCCTAACCCTAACCCTAACCCTAGCCCTAACCCTAACCCTAACCCTAACCCTAACCCTAACCCTAACCCTAACCCTAACCCTAACCCTAACCCTAACCCTAACCCTAACCCTAACCCTAACCCTAACCCTAACCCTAACCCTAACCCTAACCCTAACCCTAACCCTAACCCTAACCCTAACCATAACCCTAACCCTAACCCTAACCCTAACCCTAACCCTAACCCTAACCCTAACCCTAACCCTAACCCTAACCTAACCCTAACCCTAACCCTAACCCTAACCTAACCCTAACCCTAACCTAACCCTAACCCTAACCCTAACCCTAACCCTAACCTAACCCTAACCCTAACCCTAACCCTAACCCTAACCCTAACCCTAACCCTAACCCTAACCCTAACCCTAACCCTAACCCTAACCCTAACCCTAACCCTAACCCTAACCCTAACCCTAACCCTAACCCTAACCCTAACCCTAACCCTAACCCTAACCCTAACCCTAACCCTAACCCTAACCCTAACCCTAGCCCTAACCCTAACCCTAACCCTAACCCTAACCCTAACCCTAACCCTAACCCTAACCCTAACCCTAACCCTAACCCTAACCCAACCCTAACCCTAACCCTAACCCTAACCCTAACCCTAACCCTAACCCTAACCCTAACCCTAACCCTAACCCTAACCCTAACCCAACCCCAACCCTTACCCTAACCCTAACCCTAACCCTAACCCTAACCCTAACCCTAACCCTAACCCTAACCCTAACCCTAACCCTAACCCTAACCCTAACCCTAACCCTAACCCTAACCCTAACCCTAACCCTAACCCTAACCCTAACCCTAACCCTAACCCTAACCCTAACCCTAACCCTAACCCTAACCCTAACCCTAACCCTAACCCTAACCCTAATTTGGGGCCTAGATAGCCCTGTGACAAAATTTGTCATGGGGCCAATGGCCCTGTGACAAAATTTGTCATGGGGCCATGTGGCCCTTTGATAAATTTGTCAAAAGGCCACCAATTATATAAATTAATTAATTGATTAATTAATTCATTAATTCAGTAATAATTCGAACTATAATTGAGTAATTAATTAATTATTTAGTTAATTAATTGACTAAATTGAATAATTAGCTATTTAATTAACAATTAAATAACTAAATTAATTTATTAAACAATTAATCTTTTAAATATTAATTAATTAAATTAGTTAATCAATTAATATAATTTTTCAAACGTCTAGTGACGTTATTATAAAAATTTTAAAAAAATTTTTAAAAAAATTTTTTAAAAAAACTTTAAAAAATCATAAAAAATAGAGAAAAATGTTTCAATTTATTCTGACAGCAAATTTGAGCTTAGATTAGTCTAGTCTATCCATTAAAACGAAGAAATATAAATTACCAAATTCGAAATCTAAAATTACCAAAATAGGGAAAATTGGATAAAACGGTACCAAAGTTGCATAGTCAAAAATGATCAGCGAGTCGAGAAACGTATTTTAAACAAGACGTGGAATGAGAAATTTTTCAGAAAAAATTGCTATATTTAGAAATGACGAAAAGTTATATATATAGAAATGACGAGCACATTCCATTCCATGCATTCCACACATTCCTGACATTCCTAGCATTCCTGAGGGCGGGTTAGGGTTAGGGTGACTTTTTTGCGCGACGTACAACTTTAAAAGTCCGGTTTTTTCTAAAAATCGGCATCTCAAAGTTAGGAAATCGATCGCTTTATCAGTCTTGGACCTACCTCTGACCCTGAAAAACCATCTTCAAGACCTCCATCGTCAGAAGATATATCAAATACACCAATAGTACTTATAACATTAACATAACAACAGTACATTCATAATACTACAACAATAGTACAACCACAATAGTACAATAACAATAGTACCAACAATATTACAACAATAATACCACAATAATACAACAATACTACAACAGTAGTACAACAAGGACTGAATTTAATATATCTCAATCACTGCATATGGAGTCCACTTTCCCCATCTATTCAAGATATATTTAAAAATCTACTTTCATGCGACATACATCACAACTGTACTAACACTCTTGTTGCCAATTCGAAATACACAACATCACTGTAAAAATGGGTGCCACACAGATGTACAAATTACAACTTTCATCTGCTCAAGATATATTTCAAATCTACTTATGTACAACCATGCAACTCAAATTCATTTGCATTATCAAATCACACATCAATTGCCAACTAATATAAAGATATCTTCTATTACAACATTTACACACTTACATACGGGCAATATTGCCGGAAAACTGCCACCCTCCTGGAAGAAACAAACAGTGCTCCAGTCCGCTTTCTTTTTATAACTACAACTTACGGAAAATGCTTCCTCGGAACCGAAACTTTCCGTTAGGTTCTTCAAAATCTCTTTATAAAGTTCAAAACTAAATAACACTAGAATTCTACCATCACGCTATTATAATTTTTAAACAATGACAAGCGTACTCTATTTTAACAATCACGTTACAACAATATTTTAAAATTAATAAAGCACTTTAACATCTGTAATCAAGCATGTCATTTTCTCAGCACTGCAAACTATTGAGTAGCTAATAAATATTAACTAATTATGGCTTATTCCAAGCCATATTTCTGTTACAATACATGTATAATACCTCCACACAGTTTTGGCTATTATGCAATTGTCACTAAAGTTCATTTGCGCATTTTGCAATATTCTTACACACAAAGTCAAGTGTTGTCGCTTCTACGTTAATAACCTGGAATAACTTGCAGTTAATAACACTATCAATAATGGATAATTAGGAATAACATGCACAAGGGCCAAACATTCTTAATACTATTAACAATAAATTTTTACAACCACTGAGTATTTTAATAAAATACAAAACAAGTCAAACTCCAAAAATCGATAACATTTTTTTTTTTCATTTTTTTTCATTTTTATTTAAATGTTATTCATTTTGCGGTTTCTCTTGTTTTCTATACTATTAACAATGGAAATATAACATTCTCTATATCATAACAACATCATTATTATGTACTATAACACTATTAATAATGCAAGTGCATAAAACTATTATATATTCCATCTGTCTGTATTTTTTTTTTACAAAAAACTGTCAAAAACTACATATATTGTTAGCAGGTCAACTTATTAATCAACTTACAACAAGGGCTATACAACACTATACAATTTTATAAAAGCCTAGTGATACAGCACTATATAATGCTATACGAGACTAAATGACACTATAAGGATGAAATCCCAAAAAATTTCGAGAGTATCATTTTCTCAATCAGAATTTTAAAATTAAATACGCATAATTTGTTAAGAGGATATTAAGTTAAAGTTGTAGCCCTCATCAAGGCGAACATCATTCGTTAGTGTCTTCTTAACAAAATATGCAAGCGTAAGGTTTTACACTATGCGCATGCGTACACCTTCTTGTTCCCAGCCGACACTTCAATTTTTAGAATCTACGGTACATAAGCTCTCCATCAATGCCTTACTCGTGTATCAAGAGACCAACAAAGCAGGTTATTCCCGGTCCATAATCGAACAAGACATGAAAGTTAATATTAGGCGGTTTCCAACCTGATGTTGCATCGAATTTCAAGGTTTTTCTAGCAGAGACTTGAATTTGGGCAGGCCTACAGGTTGTATTTCTGGAATCAACGATTCATAAGCGTTCTCTGGAAGCCTTTTTTGCCCATCACTAGGCCGGATGTGGAGAGAAATGCAGTTTTTTACCAGCGGTGTAATCGAAAAGACGATAAAGTTAGAATTTTTTAAGTGAGGGTTAGGGTTTGGGCTGTCTCCAATGTGATGTTCTATTGAATTTCAAGGTCCCTGTAACGAAGACGTGAATTTCGCACGGTCCAAAAATTCGATTTTTATAATCTACGGTCCATAAGCTTTCTATCGATGCCTTACTCGTCTATCAAAAGACAGTTTATGAAGAAACAGACCAGGTTACTCCAGGTGCATAATCGAAAAAGACGTGAAACTTAATATTATGCAGTTTCCAACCTAATGTTCTATCCAGTTTTAAGGATATTAAGCAAAGTTGTAGCCCTCATCAAGACGAACAAGTTTCGTTAATATCTTCTTAACAAAAAATGCAAGCGTAAGGTTTTACGTTCTGCGCATGCGCAGACCTTCTCCTTCCCAGCCGGCATTTCGGTCTGGAGCTCTATCTGCCTGAAACTTTGGCCGAAAAGTTGATGTCACGAAAAATGTCCATGAAATCATTTTCTGAATCAGAATTTTACGCTAAATCCAATGGTGATAGTGTCGTCCCCAGCCGCCGCATTGGTCCGGAGTTATGGAAGGTTATGTACTGCGCATGCGCAGATCTATCTTCGTAAATACGCATAATTTGTTGAAAGGATGTTAAGCAAAGTTGTAGCACTCATCAAGGCGAAAAACATTCGTTAATGTCTTCTTAACAAAATATGCAAGCGTAAGGTTTTACCTTCTGCGCATGCGCAGACTTTCTCCTTCCCAGCCGGAATTTCGGTCTTGAGCTCTATCTGGCTGAAACTTTCGCGGAAAAGTTGATGTCACGAAAAATGTCCATGAAATCATTTTCTGAACCAGAATTTTACGCTGAATCCAATGGTGATAGTGTCGTCCCCAGCCGCCGCATTGGTCCCGAGTTATGGAAGGTTATGTACTGCGCATGCGCAGTTCTATCTTCGTAAATACGCATCTTTTGTTGAAAGCATATTAAGCAAAGTTGTAGCCCTCATCAAAACGAACAACATTCGTTAATGTCTTCTTAACAAAATATGCAAGCGTAAGGTTTTACGTTCTGCGCATGCGCAGACCTTCTCCTTGCCAGCCGGCATTTCGGTCCGGAGCTCTATCTGGCTGAAACTTTGGCGGAAAAGTTGATGTCACGAAAAATGTCCATGAAATCATTTTCTGAATCAGAATTTTACGCTGAATCCAATGGTGATAGTGTCGTCCCGAGCCGCCGCATTGGTCCCGAGTTATTGAAGGTTATGTACTGCGCATGCGCAGATCTATCTTCGTAAATACGCATCTTTTGTTGAAAGGATATTAAGCAAAGTTGTAGCCCTCATGAAGGCGAACAACATTCGTTAATGTCTCCTTAACAAAATATGCAAGCGTAAGGTTTTACGTTCTGCGCATGCGCAGACCTTCTCCTTCCCAGCCGGCATTTCGGTCTGGAGCTCTATCTGGCTGAAAGTTTCGCGGAAAAGTTGATGTCACGAAAAATGTCCACGAAATCATTTTCTGAATCAGAATTTTACGCTGAATCCAATGGTGATAGTGTCGTCCCCAGCCGCCGCATTGGTCCCGAGTTATGGAAGGTTATGTACTGCGCATGCGCAGATCTATCTTCGTAAATACGCATTTTTGTTGAAAGGATATTAAGCAAAGTTGTAGCCCTCACGAAGGCAAACAACATTCGTTAATGTCTGCTTAACAAAATATGCAAACGTAAGGTTTTACGTTCTGCGCATGCGCAGACCTTCTCCTTCCCAGCCGGCATTTCGGTCTGGAGCTCTATCTGGCTGAAAGTTTCGCGGAAAAGTTGATGTCACGAAAAATGTCCATGAAATCATTTTCTGAATCAGAATTTTATGCTGAATCCAATGGTGATAGTGTCGTCCCGAGCCGCCGCATTGGTCCCGAGTTATGAAAGGGTATGTACTGCGCATGCGCAGATCTATCTTCGTAAATACGCATCTTTTGTTGAAAGGATATTAAGCAAAGTTGTAGCCCTCATGAAGGCGAACAACATTCGTTAATGTCTTTTTAACAAAATATGCAAGCGTAAGGTTTACGTTCTGCGCATGCGCAGACCTTCTCCTTCCCAGCCGGCATTTCGGTCTGGAGCTCTATCTTGCTGAAAGTTTCGCGGAAAAGTTGATGTCACGAAAAATGTCCATGAAATCATTTTCTGAATCAGAATTTTACGCTGAATCCAATGGTGATAGTGTCGTCCCCAGCCGCCGCATTGGTCCCGAGTTATGGAAGGTTATGTACTGCGCATGCGCAGATCTATCTTCGTAAATACGCATTTTTGTTGAAAGGATATTAAGCAAAGTTGTAGCCCTCATGAAGGCGAACAACATTTGTTAATGTCTTGTTAACAAAATATGCAAGCGTAAGGTTTTACGTTCTGCGCATGCGCAGACCTTCTCCTTCCCAGCCGACATTTCGGTCTGGAGCTCTATCTGGCTGAAAGTTTCGCGGAAAAGTTGATGTCACGAAAAATGTCCATGAAATCATTTTCTGAATCAGAATTTTACGCTGAATCCAATGGTGATAATGTCGTCCCCAGCCGCCGCATTGGTCCAAAGTTATGGAAGGTTATGTACTGCGCATGCGCAGATCTATTTTCGTAAATACGCATCTTTTGTTGAAAGGATATTAAGCAAAGTTGTAGCCCTCACGAAGGCAAACAACATTCGTTAATGTCTGCTTAACAAAATATGCAAGCGTAAGGTTTTACGTTCTGCGCATGCGCAGACCTTCTCCTTCCCAGCCGGAATTCCGGTCTGGAGCTCTATCTGGCTGAAACTTTGGCGGAAAAGTTGATCTCACGAAAAATGTCCATGAAATCATTTTCTGAATCAGAATTTTACGCTGAATCCAATGGTGATAGTGTCGTCCCCAGCCGTCGCATTGGTCCCGAGTTATCGAAGGTTATGTAGTGCGCATGCGCAGAGCTATCTTCGTAAATACGCATCTTTGTTGAAAGGATATTAAGAAAAGTTGTAGCCCTCGTCAAGGCGAACAACATTCGTTAATGTTTTCTCAACAAAATATGCAAGCGTAAGGTTTTACGTTCTGCGCATGCGCAGACCTTCTCCTTGCCAGCCGGCATTTCAGTCTGGAGCTCTATCTGGCTGAAACTTTGGCGGAAAAGTTGATGTCACGAAAAATGTCCATGAAATCATTTTCTGAATCAGAATTTTACGCTGAATCCAATGGTGATAGTGTCGTCCCCAGCCGTCGCATTGGTCCCGAGTTATGGAAGGTTATGTACTGCGCATGCGCAGAACTATCTTCGTAAATACGCATCTGTTGTTTAAAGGATATTAAGCAAAGTTGTAGCCCTCATCAAGGCGAACAACATTCGTTAATGTCTTCTTTACAAAATATGCAAGCGTAAGGTTTTACGTTCTGCGCATGCGCAGACCTTCTCCTTGCCAGCCGGCATTTCGGTCTGGAGCTCTATCTGGCTGAAAGTTTGGCGGGAAAGTTGATGTCACGAAAAATGTCCATGAAATCATTTTCTGAATCAGAATTTTACGCTGAATCCAATGGTGATAGTGTCGTCCCCAGCCGCCGCATTGGTCCTGAGTTATGGAAGGTTATGTACTGCGCATGCGCAGATCTATCTTCGTAAATACGCATCTTTTGTTGAAAGGATATTAAGCAAAGTTGTAGCCCTCATGAAGGCGAACAACATTCGTTAATGTCTTCTTAACAAAATATGCAAGCGTAAGATTTTACGTTCTGCGCATGCGCAGACCTTCTCCTTCCCAGCCGGCATTTCGGTCTGGAGCTCTATCTGGCTGAAAGTTTCGCGGAAAAGTTGATGTCACGAAAAATGTCCATGATATCATTTTCTGAATCAGAATTTTACGCTGAATCCAATGGTGATAGTGTCGTCCCCAGCCGCCGCATTGGTCCTGAGTTATGGAAGGTTATGTACTGCGCATGCGCAGTTCTATCTTCGTAAATACGCATCTTTTGTTGAAAGGATATTAAGCAAAGTTGTAGCCCTCATCAAGGCGAACAACATTCGTTAATGTCTTCTTTACAAAATATGCAGGCGTAAGGTTTTACGTTCTGCGCATGCGCAGACCTTCTCCTTGCCAGCCGGCATTTCGGTCTGGAGCTCTATCTGGCTGAAACTTTGTCGGAAAAGTTGATGTCACGAAAATGTCCATGAAATCATTTTCTGGATCAGAATTTTACGCTGAATCCAATGGGGATAAAGTAAGCCGTTTCCAGCCGCCGCATTAAACTGGTCCCGAGTTATGGAAGGTTATGTACTGCGCAGCGCAGAACTATTCAAATACGCATCTTTTGTTGAAAGGATATTAAGCAAAGTTGTAGCCCTCATGAAGGCGAACAACACTCGTTAATGTCTTCTTAACAAAATATGCAAGCGTAAGGTTTTACGTTCTGCGCATGCGCAGACCTTCTCCTTCCCAGCCGGCATTTCGGTCTGGAGCTCTATCTGGCTGAAAGTTTCGCGGAAAAGTTGATGTCACGAAAAATGCCCATGAAATCATTTTCTGAATCAGAATTTTACGCTGAATCCAATGGTGATAGTGTCGTCCCCAGCCGCCGCATTGGTCCCGAGTTATGGAAGGTTATCTACTGCGCATGCGCAGTTCTATCTTCGTAAATACGCTCTTTTGTTGAAAGGATATTAAGCAACGTTGTAGCCCTCATCAAGACGAACAACATTCGTTAATGTCTTCTTAACAAAATATGCAAGCGTAAGGTTTTACGTTCTGCGCATGCGCAGACCTTCTCCTTCCCAGCCGGAATTTCGGTCTGGAGCTCTATTTGGCTGAAACTTTGGCGGAAAAGTTGATGTCAGGAAAAATGTCCATGAAATCATTTTCTGAATCAGAATTTTACGCTGAATCGAATGGTGATAGTGTCGTCCCCAGCCGCCGCATTGGTCCCGAGTTATGAAAGGTTATGTACTGCGCATGCGCAGTTCTATCTTCGTAAATACGCATATTTTGTTGAAAGGATATTAAGCAAAGTTGTAGCCCTCATCAAGACAAACAACATTCGTTAATGTCTTCTTAACAAAATATGCAAGCGTAAGGTTTTACGTTCCGCGCATGCGCAGACCTTCTCCTTGCCAGCCGGCATTTCGGTCTGGAGCTCTATCTGGCTGAAACTTTGGCGGAAAAGTTGATGTCACGAAAAATGTCCATGAGATCATTTTCTGAATCAGAATTTTACGCTGAATCCAATGGTGATAGTATCGTCCCCAGCCGTCGCATTGGTCCCGAGTTATGGAAGGTTATCTACTGCGCATGCGCAGTTCTATCTTCGTAAATACGCTCTTTTGTTGAAAGGATATTAAGCAAAGTTGTAGCCCTCATCAAGACGAACAACATTCGTTAATGCCTTCTTAACAAAATATGCAAGCGTAAGGTTTTACGTTCTGCGCATGCGCAGACCTTCTCCTTCCCAACCGGCATTTCGGTCTGGAGCCTTATCTGGCTGAAACTTTCGCGGAAAAGTTGATGTCACGAAAAATGTCCATGAAATCATTTTCTGAATCAGAATTTTACGCTGAATCCAATGGTGATAGTGTCGTCCCCAGCCGCCGCATTGGTCCCGAGTTATGGACGGTTATGTACCTTGCATGCGCAGAACTATCTTCGTAAATACGCATCTTTTGTTGAAAGGATATTAAGCAAAGTTGTAGCGCTCATCAAGGCGAACAACATTCGTTAATATCTTCTTAACAAAATATGCAAGCGTAAGGTTTTACGTTCTGCGCATGCGCAGATCTTCTCCTTGCCAGCCGGCATTTCGGTCTGGAGCTCTATCTGGCTGAAACTTTGGCGGAAAAGTTGATGTCACGAAAAATGTCCATGAAATCATTTTCTGAATCAGAATTTTACGCTGAATCCAATGGTGATAGTGTCGTCCCCAGCCGTCGCATTGGTCCCGAGTTATGGAAGGTTATGTACTGCGCATGCGCAGAACTATCTTTGTAAATACGCATCTTTTGTTGAAAGGATATTAGGCAAAGTTGTAGCCCTCATCTAGGCGAACAACATTCGTTAATGTTTTCTTAACAAAATATGCAAGCGTAAGGTTTTACGTTCTGCGCATGCGCAGACCTTCTCCTTCCCAGCCGGAATTTCGGTCTGGAGCTCTATCTGGTTGAAACTTTGGCGGAAAAGTTGATGTCACGAAAAATGTCCATGAAATCATTTTCGGAATCAGAATTTTACGCTGAATCCAATGGTGATAGTGTCGTCCCCAGCCGTCGCATTGCTCCCGAGATATGGAAGGTTATGTTCTGCGCATGCGCAGAACTATCTTCGTAAATACGCATCTTTTGTTGAAAGGATATTAAGCAAAGTTGTAGCCCTCATCAAGGCGAACAACATTCGTTAATGTCTTCTTAACAAAATATGCAAGCGTAAGGTTTTACGTTCTGCGCATGCGCAGACCTTCTCCTTGCCAGCCGGCATTTCGGTCTGGAGCTCTATCTGGCTGAAACTTTGGCGGAAAAGTTGATGTCACAAAAAATGTCCATGAAATCATTTTCTAAATCAGAATTTTACGCCGAATCCAATGGTGATAGTGTCGTCCCCAGCCGCCGCATTGGTCCCGAGTTATGGAAGGTTATGTACTGCGCATGCGCAGAACTATCTTCGTAAATACGCATCGTTTGTTGAAAGGATATTAAGCAAAGTTGTAGCCCTCATCAAGGCGAACAACATTCGCTAATGTCTTCTTAACAAAATATGCAAGCGTAATGTTTTACGTTCTGCGCATGCGCAGACCTTCTCCTTGCCAGCCGGCATTTCGGTCTGGAGCTCTATCTGGCTGAAACTTTGGCGGAAAATTTGATGTCACGAAAAATGTCCATGAAATCATTTTCTGGATCAGAATTTTACGCTGAATCCAATGGTGATAGTGTCGTCCCCAGCCGTTGCATTGGTCCCGAGTTATGGAAGGTTATGTACTGCGCATGCGCAGAACTATCTTCGCAAATACGCATCTTTTGTTGAAAGGATATTAAGCAAAGTTGTAGCCCTCATCAAGGCGAACAACATTCGTTAATGTCTTCTTTACAAAATATGCAAGCGTAAGGTTTACGTTCTGCGCATGCGCAGACCTTCTCCTTGCCAGCCGGCATTTCGGTCTGGAGCTCTATCTGGCTGAAACTTTGGCGGAAAGTTGATGTCACGAAAAATGTCCATGAAATCATTTTCTGAATCAGAATTTTACGCTGAATCCAATGGTGATAGTGTCGTCCGCAGCCGTTGCATTGGTCCCGAGTTATGGAAGGTTATGTACTGCGCATGGGCAGAACTATCTTCGTAAATACGCATCTTTTGTTGAAAGGATATTAAGCAAAGTTGTAGCCCTCATCAAGGCGAACAACATTCGTTAATGTCTTCTTAACAAAATATGCAAGCGTAATGTTTTACGTTCTGCGCATGCGCAGACCTTCTCCTGGCCAGCCGGCATTTCGGTCTGGAGCTCTATCTGGCTGAAACTTTGGCTGAAACTTTGGCGGAAAATTTTATGTCACGAAAAATGTCCATGAAATCATTTTCTGGATCAGAATTTTACGCTGAATCCAATGGTGATAGTGTCGTCCCCAGCCGTTGCATTGGTCCCGAGTTATGGATGGTTATGTACTGCGCATGCGCAGAACTATCTTCGTAAATACGCATCTTTTGTTGAAAGGATATTAAGCAAAGTTGTAGCCCGCATCAAGGCGAACAACATTCGTTAATGTCTTCTTAACAAAATATGCAAGCGTAACGTTTTACGTTCTGCGCATGCGCAGACCTTCTCCTTGCCAGCCGGCATTTCGGTCTGGAGCTCTATCTGGTTGAAACTTTGGCGGAAAAGTTGATGTCACGAAAAATGTCCATGAAATCATTTTCTGAATCAGAATTTTACGCTGAATCCAATGGTGATAGTGTTGTCCGCAGCCGTTGCATTGGTCCCGAGTTATGGAAGGTTATGTACTGCGCATGGGCAGAACTACCTTCGTAAATACGCATCTTTTGTTGAAAGAATATTAAGCAAAGTTGTAGCCCTAATCAAGGCGAACAACATTCGTTAATGTCTTCTTAACAAAATATGCAAGCGTAATGTTTTACGTTCTGCGCATGCGCAAACCTTCTCCTTGCCAGCCGGCATTTCGGTCTGGAGCTCTATCTGGCTGAAACTTTGGCGGAAAAGTTGATGTCACGAAAAATGTCCATGAAATCATTTTCTGAATCAGAATTTTACGCTGAATCCAATGGTGATAGTGTCGTCCCCAGCCGTCGCATTGGTCCCGAGTTATGGAAGGTTATGTACTGCGCATGCGCAGAACTATCTTCGTAAATACGCATCTTTGTTGAAAGGATATTAAGCAAAGTTGTAGCCCTCATCAAGGCAAACAACATTCGCTAATGTCTTCTTAACAAAATATGCAAGCGTAAGGTTTTACGTTCTGCGCATGCGCAGACCTTCTCCTTACCAGCCGGCATTTCGGTCTGGAGCTCTATCTGGCTGAAACTTTGGCGGAAAAGTTGATGTCACAAAAAATGTCCATGAAATCATTTTCCGAATCAGAATTTTACTCTGAATCCAATGGTGATAGTGTCGTCCCCAGCCGTCGCATTGGTCCCGAGTTATGGAAGGTTATGTACTGCGCATGCGCAGAACTATCTTCGTAAATACGCATCTTTTGTTGAAAGGATATTAAGCAAAGTTGTAGCCCTCATCAACGCGAACAACATTCGTTAATGTCTTCTTAACAAAATATGCAAGCGTAAGGTTTTACGTTCTGCGCATGCGCATACCTTCTCCTTGCCAGCCGGCATTTCGGTCTGGAGCTCTATCTGGCTGAAACTTTGGCGGAAAAGTAGATGTCACGAAAAATGTCCATGAAATCATTTTCTGAATCAGAAAATTTCGCTGAATCCAATGGTAATAGTGTCGTCCCCAGCAGTCGCATTGGTCCCGAGTTATGGAAGGTTATGTACTGCGCATGCGCAGAACTATCTTCGTAAATACGCATCTTTTGATGAAAGGATATTAAGCAAAGTTGTAGCCCTCATCAAGGCGAACAACGTTCGTTAATATCTTCTTAACAAAATATGCAAGCGTAAGGTTTTACGTTCTGCGCATGCGCAGACCTTCTCCTTGCCAGCCGGCATTTCAGTCTGGAGCTCTATCTGGCTGAAACTTTAGCGGAAAAGTTGATGTCACGAAAAATGTCCATGAAATCATTTTCTGAATCAGAATCTTACGCTGAATCCAATGGTGATAGTGTCGTCCCCAGCCGCCGCATTGGTCCCGAGTTATGGAAGGTTATGTACTGCGCATGCGCAGAACTATCTTCGTAAATACGCATCTTTTGTTGAAAAGATATTAAGAAAAAGTTGTAGCCCTCATCAAGGCGAACAACATTCGTTAATGTCTTCTTAACAAAATATTCAAGCGTAAGGTTTTACGTTCTGCGCATGCGCAGACCTTCCCCTTGCCAGCCGGCATTTCGGTCTGGAGCTCCATCTGGCTGAAAATTTGGCGGAAAAGTTGATGTCACGAAAAATGTCCATGAAATCATTTTCTGAATCAGAATTTTACGCTGAATCCAATGGTGATAGTGTCGTCCCCAGCCGTCGAATTGGTCCCGAGTTATAGAAGGTTATGTAGTGCGCATGCGCAGAACTATCTTCGTAAATACGCATCTTTTGTTGAAAGGATATTAAGCAAAGTTGTAGCCCTCATCAAGGCGAACAACATTCGTTAATGTCTTCTCAACAAAATATGCAAGCGTCAGCTATTACGTTCTGCGCATGCGCAGACCTTCTCCTTGCCAGCCGGCATTTCGGTCTGGAGCTCTATCTGGCTGAAACTTTGGCGGAAAAGCTGATGTCACGAAAAATGTCCATGAAATCATTTTCTGAATCAGAATTTTACGCTGAATCCAATGGTGATAGTGTCGTCCCAAGCCGCCGCATTGGTCTCGAGTTATGGAAGGTTATGTACTGCGCATGCGCAGAACTATCTTCGTAAATACGCATCTTTTGTTGAAAGGATATTAAGCAAAGTTGTAGCCCTTATCAAGGCGAACAACATTCGTTAATGTCTTCTTAACAAAATATGCAAGCGTAAGGTTTACGTTCTGCGCATGCGCAGACCTTCTCCTTGCCAGCCGGCATTTCGGTCTGGAGCTCTATCTGGCTGAAACTTTGGCGGAAAGTTGATGTCACGAAAAATGTCCATGAAATCATTTTCTGAATCAGAATTTTACGCTGAATCCAATGGTGATAGTGTCGTCCCCAGCCGTCGCATTGGTCCCGAGTTATGGAAGGTTATGTACTGCGCATGCGCAGAATTATCTTCGTAAATACGCATCTTTTGTTGAAAGCATATTAAGCAAAGTTGTAGCCCTCATCAAGGCGAACAACATTCGTTAATGTCTTCTTAACAAAATATGCAAGCGTAAGGTTTTACGTTCTGCGCATGCGCAGACCTTCTCCTTGCCAGCCGGAATTTCGGTCTGGAGCTCTATCTGGCTGAAACTTTGGCGGAAAAGTTGATGTCACGAAAAATGTCCATGAAATCATTTTCTGAATCAGAATTTTACGCTGAATCCAATGGTAATAGTGTCGTCCCCAGCCGTCGCATTGGTCCCGAGTTATGGAAGGTTATGTACTGCGCATGCGCAGAACTATCTTCGTAAATACGCATCTTTTGTTGAAAGGATATTAAGCAAAGTTGTAGCCCTCATCAAGGCGAACAACATTCGTTAATGTCTTCTTAACAAAATATGCAAGCGTAAGGTTTTACGTTCTGCGCATGCGCAGACCTTCTCCTTGCCAGCCGGCATTTCGGTCTGGAGCTCTATCTGGCTGAAACTTTGGCGGAAAAGTTGATGTCACGAAAAATGTCCATGAAATCATTTTCTGAATCAGAATTTTACGCTGAATCCAATGGTGATAGTGTCGTTCCCAGCCGTCGCATTGGTCCCGAGTTATGGAAGGTTATGTACTGCGCATGCGCAGAATTATCTTCGTAAATACGCATCTTTTGTTGAAAGGATATTAAGCAAAGTTGTAGCCCTCATCAAGGCGAACAACATTCGTTAATGTCTTCTTAACAAAATATGCAAGCGTAAAGTTTTACGTTCTCCGCATGCGCAGACCTTCTCCTTGCCAGCCGGCATTTCGGTCTGGAGCTCTATCTGGCTGAAACTTTGGCGGAAAAGTTGATGTCACGAAAAATGTCCATTAAATCATTTTCTGAATCAGAATTTTACGCTGAATCCAATGGTGATAGTGTCGTCCCCAGCCGTCGCATTGGTCCCGAGTTATGGAAGGATATGTACTGCGCATGCGCAGAACTATCTTCGTAAATACGCATCTTTTGTTGAAAGGATATTAAGCAAAGTTGTAGCCCTCATCAAGGCGAACAACATTCGTTAATGTCTTCTTAACAAAATATGCAAGCGTAAGGTTTTACGTTCTGCGCATGCGCAGACCTTCTCCTTCCCGGCCGGAATTTCGGTCTGGAGCTCTATCTGGCTGAAACTTTGGCGGAAAAGTTGATGTCACGAAAAATGTCCATGAAATCATTTTCTGAATCAGAATTTTACGCTGAATCCAATGGTAATAGTGTCGTCCCCAGCCGTCGCATTGGTCCCGAGTTATGGAAGGTTATGTACTGCGCATGCGCAGAACGTATCTCCTTACCTTTGCACTTTTTGGTAAGAAGATGTTAATAAAAGTTGTTCGTCTTGATGAGGGCTACCACTTTGCTTAATATCCTTTTAACAAATTATGCGTATTTAAGGAGATAGCGCAGCGCATGCGCAGAACGTATCTCCTTACCTTTGCACTTTTTGGTAAGAAGATGTTAACAAAAGTTGTTCGTGTTGATGAGGGCTACAACTTTGCTTAATATCCTTTTAACAAATTATGCGTATTTAAGGAAATAGCGCAGCGTATGCGCAGAACGTATCACCTTACCTTTGCACTTTTTGGTGAGAAGATGTTAACAAAAGTTGTTCGTCATGATGAGGGCTACAACTTTGCTTAATATCCTTTCAACAAATTATGCGTATTTAAGGAGATAGCGCAGCGCATGCGCAGAACGTATCTCCTTACCTTTGCACTTTTTGGTAAGAAGATGTTAATAGAAGTTGTTCGTCTTCATGAGGGCTACAACTTTGCTTAATATCCTTTTAACAAATTATGCGTATTTAAGGAGATAGGGCTGCGCATGCGCAGAACGTATCTCCTTACCTTTGCACTTTTTGGTAAGAAGATGTTAATAAAAGTTGTTCGTGTTGATGAGGGCTACAACTTTGCTTAATATCCTTTTAACAAATTATGCGTATTTAAGGAAATAGCGCAGCGCATGCGCAGAACGTATCACCTTACCTTTGCACTTTTTGGTAAGAAGATGTTAACAAAAGTTGTTCGTCATGATGAGGGCTACAACTTTGCTGAATATCCTTTCAACAAATTATGCGTATTTAAGGAGATAGCGCAGCGCATGCGCAGAACGTATCTCCTTACCTTTGCACTTTTTGGTAAGAAGATGTTAATAAAAGTTGTTCGTCTTTATGAGGGCTACAACTTTGCTTAATATCCTTTTAACAAATTATGCGTATTTAAGGAGATAGCGCAGCGCATGCGCAGAACGTATCTCCTTACCTTTGCACTTTTTGGTAAAAAGATGTTAACAAAAGTTGTTCGTCATGATGAGGGCTACAACTTTCCTTAATATCCTTTTAACAAATTATGCGTATTTAAGGAGATAGCGCAGCGCATGCGCAGAACGTATCTCCTTACCTTTGCACTTTTTGGTAAGAAGATGTTAACAAAAGTTGTTCGTCATGATGAGGGCTACAACTTTGCTTTCTATCCTTTTAACAAATTATGCGTATTTAAGGAGATAGGGCTGCGCATGCGCAGAACGTATCTCCTTACCTTTGCACTTTTTGGTAAGAAGATGTTAATAAAAGTTGTTCGTGTTGATGAGGGCTACAACTTTGCTTAATATCCTTTTAACAAATTATGCGTATTTAATGAAATAGCGCAGCGCATGCGCAGAACGTATCTCCCTAGCTTTGCACTTTTTGGTAAGAAGATGTTAACAAAAGTTGTTCGTCATGATGAGGGCTACAACTTTGCTTAATATCCTTTTAACAAATTATGCGTATTTAAGGAGATAGGGCTGCGCATGCGCAGAACGTATCTCCCTAGCTTTGCACTTTTTGGTAAGAAGATGTTAACAAAAGTTGTTCGTCATGATGAGGGCTACAACTTTGCTTAATATCCTTTTAACAAATTATGCGTATTTAAGGAGATAGCGCTGCGTATGCGCAGAACGTATCTCCTTATCTTTGCACTTTTTGGTAAGAAGATGTTAACAAAAGTTGTTCGTCTTGATGAGGGCTACAACTTTGCTTAATATCCTTTTAACAAATTATGCGTATTTAAGTAGATAGGGCTGCGCATGCGCAGTACGTATCTCCCTAGCTTTGCACTTTTTGGTAAGAAGATGTTAACAAAAGTTGTTCGTCATGATGAGGGCTACAACTTTGCTTAATATCCTTTTAACAAATTATGCGTATTTAAGGAGATAGGGCTGCGCATGCGCAGAACGTATCTCCTTAGCTTTGCACTTTTTGGTAAGAAGATGTTAACAAAAGTTGTTCGTCTTGATGAGGGCTACAACTTTGCTTAATATCCTTTTAACAAATGATGCGTATTTATGGAGATAGGGCTGCGCATGCGCAGAACGTATCTCCTTACCTTTGCACTTTTTGGTAAGAAGATGTTAACAAAAGTTGTTCGTCTTGATGAGGGCTACGACTTTGCTTAATATCCTTTCAACAAATTATGCGTATTTAAGGAGATAGGGCTGCGCATGCGCAGAACGTATCTCCTTACCTTTGCACTTTTTGGTAAGAAGATCTTAACAAAAGTTGTTCGTCATGATGAGGGCTACAACTTTGCTTAATATCCTTTTAACAAATTATGCGTATTTAAGGAAATAGCGCAGCGCATGCGCAGAACGTATCACCTTACCTTTGAACTTTTGGTAAGAAGATGTTAACAAAAGTTGTTCGTCTTTATGAGGGCTACAACTTTGCTTAATATCCTTTTAACAAATTATGCGTATTTAAGGAAATAGCGCAGCGCATGCGCAGAACGTATCACCTTACCTTTGCACTTTTTGGTAAGAAGATGTTAACAAAAGCTGTTCGTCATGATGAGGGCTACAACTTTGCTTAATATCCTTTCAACAAATTATGCGTATTTAAGGAGATTATGCAGCGCATGCGCAGAACGTATCTCCTTACCTTTGCACTTTTTGGTAAGAAGATGTTAACAAAAGTTGTTCGTCTTGATGAGGGCTACGACTTTGCTTAATATCCTTTTAACAAATTATGCGTATTTAAGGAGATAGGGCTGCGCATGCGTAGAACGTATCTCCTTACCTTTGCACTTTTTGGTAAGAAGATGTTAACAAAAGTTGTTCGTCTTGATGAGGGCTACAACTTTGCTTAATATCCTTTTAACAAATTATGCGTATTTAAGGAGATAAGGCTGCGCATGCACAGAACGTATCTCCTTAGCTTTGCACTTTTTGGTAAGAAGATGTTAACAAAAGTTGTTCGTCATGATGAGGGCTACAACTTTGCTTAATATCCTTTTAACAAATTATGCCTATTTAAGGAGATCGGGCTGCGCATTCGCAGAACGTATCTCCCTAGCTTTGCACTTTTTGGTAAGAAGATGTTAACAAAAGTTGTTCGTCATGATGAGGGCTACAACTTTGCTTAATATCCTTTTAACAAATTATGCGTATTTAAGGAGATAGGGCTGCGCATGCGCAGAACGTATCTCCTTACCTTTGCACTTTTTGGTAAGAAGATGTTAATAAAAGTTGTTCGTGTTGATGAGGGCTACAACTTTGCTTAATATCCTTTTAACAAATTATGCGTATTTAAGGAGATAGCGCAGCGCATGCGCAGAACGTATCTCCTTACCTTTGCACCTTTTGGTAAGAAGATGTTAATAAAAGTTGTTCGTCTTTATGAGGGCTACAACTTTGCTTAATATCCTTTTAACAAATTATGCGTATTTAAGGAGATAGCGCAGCGCATGCGCAGAACGTATCTCCTTACCTTTGCACTTTTTGGTAAGAAGATGTTAACAAAAGTTGTTCGTCTTGATGAGGGCTACAACTTTGCGTAATATCCTTTTAACAAATTATGCGTATTTAATGAGATAGCGCAGCGCATGCGCAGAACGTATCTCCCTAGCTTTGCACTTTTTGGTAAGAAGATGTTAACAAAAGTTGTTCGTCATGATGAGGGCTACAACTTTGCTTAATATCCTTTTAACAAATTATGCGTATTTAAGGAGATAGGGCTGCGCATGCGCAGAACGTATCTCCCTAGCTTTGCACTTTTTGGTGAGAAGATGTTAACAAAAGTTGTTCGTCATGATGAGGGCTACAACTTTGCTTAATATCCTTTCAACAAATTATGCGTATTTAAGGAGATAGGGCTGCGCATGCGCAGAACGTATCTCCTTACCTTTGCACTTTTTGGCAAGAAGATGTTAACGAAATTTGTTCGCCTTGATGAGGGCTACCACTTTGCTTAATATCCTTTTAACAAATTATGCGTATTTAAGGAGATAGGGCTGCGCATGCGCAGAACGTATCTCCTTACCTTTGCACTTTTTGGTAAGAAGATGTTAACAAAAGTTGTTCGTCTTGATGAGGGCTACAACTTTGCTTAATATCCTTTTAACAAATTATGCGTATTTAAGGAGATCGGGCTGCGCATTCGCAGAACGTATCTCCTTAGCTTTGCACTTTTTGGTAAGAAGATGTTAACAAAAGTTGTTCGTCATGATGGGGGCTACAACTTTGCTTAATATCCTTTTAAGAAATTATGCGTATTTAAGGAGATAGGGCTGCGCATGCGCAGAACGTATCTCCTTACCTTTGCACTTTTTGGTAAGAAGATGTTAACAAAAGTTGTTCGTCATGATGTGGGCTACAACTTTGCTTAATATCCTTTTAACAAATTATGCGTATTTAAGGAGATAGGGCTGCGCATGCGCAGAACGTATCTCCTTACCTTTGCACTTTTTGGTAAGAAGATGTTAACGAAAGTTGTTCGTCTTGATGAGGGCTACAACTTTGTTTAATATCCTTTTAACAAATTATGCGTATTTAAGGAGATAGGGCTGCGCATGCGCAGAACGTATCTCCTTACCTTTGCACTTTTTGGTAAGAAGATGTTAACAAAGTTGTTTGTCTTGATGAGGGCTACAACTTTGCTTAATATCCTTTTAACAAATTATGCGTATTTAAGGAGATAGGGC